TCCATTGGACATCCTTGGGAAACTTTTTGGGGACCTTCTACGGACCATCAACTCAACTGAATGTCCTAATCAGTTATGCAAGATCTGGTCCTAAAGAGACTCATTCAAATTCAAGAATAATTCTCACGTCCCTGGGACATCCTATGGACATCCAATGGATATCCCTCAGCGTTGCTGATAGGTTGTCCTATGGATGTCCTAAGGACGTCCTCTGTAGTGCTTGATGAGGAATACTGTAGGATTTAGGTATTCGATAGTTTCTCAAGGACGTCCCTAGTTGGTCCTCAAGTGGGACATTTGTGCGTCCCACAGACGTCCAATGGACGTCCACGGTACCAAATTCGAACGTCCTATGGACGTCCTGAATGTCCTGACAGGACGTCCTAAGGATATCCATGGGACATAAGTGTGTTATTAGGGTTTTATTCATCTCTTCCCACAGGATGTGTTTACCGTCTTTCATAATCATAACTGAGATACAGGACGTGCTTTTGGCAAAATCACCATCTGTTCATGAGTTTTGTATAATCTACCCATGCATGAAGGAAACTTCGAACGCAAAAATCTTCGTGATAGTTTGACATAACCCTATTCAACCTGCTATCGTTGAACTCGTCATGATGATCCCTAACCGATTATGTGATAAAATACAGGGTGTTTTCCATAAAAATCTGGAGTTGGGGCCATTGCGGGTGAAACCGGAAATATTGAAACCTAAATTTCTTTGTCAATAAATGAACGATTGGTTATATTTGTTACCTATCAGTTTTTAGAATCTGATCTTGAATGATCCAGAAGTTACAGCACTGGTTGTTTCTTGTGCTCTTCTCATGATTACAAAAAACAAAACTAAATGTTTTGCATACCAGCATCGGATATTAACGTTGGAGAGTAATGAAAATAAGAAAATGAACATCGAGAATTGAGTTACATATACCTATCAAATATCATCGTTTTAACGCGTTATAGATTTATATAAAAAGAAAACACCAATATTCTCATCCAATCAAATTTGGTTGTTTTGACGAATCATCGTAGCAACGTATACCGGGTGGCTACGTAAGTATTGCCTACGGAATATCTCAGTTATTGTATGAAGTAGGTTTGTGAAATTTGGAGCGTCGATATAATGACATAAGAGCTAGAATTTGAGCATATTGACATGTCGAAGTTAACTTCCGGTCTGACCAGAAGTAACATCAACTTTCTTATTTTAAATGGAAACCCTATTTTTTTTCTTTTCGCTTTATTCAGCATTCAATTCCCTTTTCAATGACAAATCACAAGTTGGTATCTAACCAGAAACTAGATCAGAAAAAAATCATTATTGTTATTTGAAGAATAATAATTGGATTTTTTGGTATTTCATTTCGAAAAATTACTTTCTATTATATCATTAGAAAGGAATCGTCATGCTGAATAGTACAGGCAAGAAAAATTTGTATGTTCCTATCAGTGACGGCTCGTGCCCTCAGAACCTGGGTCGGCCAGGGTATAGATATTGCTCTAAAATGCGAACGTAAGTGGGTCAGCGGCTTGAGTGAAGTTCTATGGCAAATAAGCATGTACAGAGTGATTCACCATAATTGTCCTTTCTCCCTCTAGCTCACTTATTTTTGACCCGATTTAAAAATTTGAAGGATGATCTAAAATGATTTCTCAGAATTTTTTTCCCGTTGCATCAGGAAATACAGGGTGCTCGGAACAAATGATCTACAGGGTACTACTCGATTTTTCCAAATCGAACACCCTGTATTTCATTGTATTTTTAGATTCTTCCTGAAGAGCTGATTGAACTGTCTATTGAGATTTGATTGGAACATTTACAGGGTGGTTCAAGATTCAGAATTCTGATCACCCTGTATCTGTTCCAATTATTAAATGTCAGTAGATTGTAAATCAAAAGTTGAGATATGGACATGAAAGCCGTTTTGACCGATGATGAATAGTTTCGTCTCAAAAAAATCCTAAAGTTGAAAAATCTCGATTTTGAACACCCTATATCTCTGTAATCATTCCCGATAGACCCCAAGTGTGATAGATTGAGCAAATCAGCTTTTCAGGGAGAATCTAAAAATACAATGAAAAATAGGGTGTTCCATATAAAAAAATCAAATGGTACCCTGTAGATCGTTTGTTCTGAGCACCCTGTATTTTCTGATGTAGCGGAAAAAAACTCAATCAAAAATCATTCAAGATGATATTTCAAATTTTGAAATCGGTTTAAAAATAATTGAGCTAGAGGGAGGGACATTTATGGTGAATCACCCTGTACACATAACAAAAAAATTAAATTGTCCAGCAAGAACCACGAGGTTAGAGCATTCTCGTCAGGGGAAATGGGGAAAGAAAAAGGAGTTGGATAAGGGTTAGTTGGTATGAAAAAATAATAACAAGAAAGTCGAAAAAATAAAATGAAAGAAAATAAAAATAAAATAACTCGTGAACAAAAAATATTTATATTCTGTTGAAAACGTAATGTAAACTCTAAAAAATCAACATAACCGACAACCACTCACCTAAGGCGAGTAGCACAACAATGACTAATCGCCAATCGGTCTACGCCCGCCGTTCCTGTAACAAGCCAACCCCACTGACCCCACTCCTTCGTAGTCGGCTGGCCGAGCCCGCGTGCAGGGTGCAGCCGTAGGTATAATGTTTCCCGCGATGCGATGGATGCATAAATATTATTTAGGTAGTTAATAACCGCTACATGCGTCTTTGAAAATAAATGATATTCTGGAAGTTATACATTTATTACATTTTCGTCACCAGAGCTTTTTTACGATGTTTCAATACCTACTCAGCTCTTGGACTGCTGACATTTTTCTTGCCATATTACCTACATAGGCAGAGGCACAGTAGGTTACATTACAGCAATATTCAAATTGAATTATAACTTATTGACGCTCAGAAGCACTGAAGGAAAATTCTGATACCAATATTAGATGGATATGTTGAATTATGAATTACTGAAAAATTGCAAATTCAAAAATCACCAGTCATTTTTACTGCAACTACTGCAAGCGTAAACAAAAACATGGAAATTATTTTTCTTTTCAGTTTGTACATTTCAAATTCCAACATCAACTTACAAATAAGTATAGGAATTAAAATTATAAATACCTACAATGTAAAATGAAAATAGAATGTCAATCATGCCAATCCGTATATTAAAAATTAGGTCGGAATGGTTCGATACGGTGCACAGCGAGCGCACTGCAAACAACTGGATACTGATAAGTACGATCGATACGTTGGACGGCCAGCAGAGCTTGGCCGCACCCAAGGTATGACGCGTATAAGCGAAAATTTAAACTTGAAGCGGGGAATCTGTAGGCGATGCCTGTGGCGATGCGTCAAGACACGTCAAGACAAGAAATCACCGATCGGCCGGCCGTCTGCATCAGTGTAATGAGCTACGCGAGCGGTTCAACTGAAAGCGGCGTTTTGACGATGGGATTACCAGATGTCGTAGGTCCTGAATTAGCTCGTGATTTTCGGTGTATATGCGGATGGCATACTCAAAGGTTCCATGAATGAAATTCAAATAATAGTGGCATAACAGTAGGATAATGAGCGATGAATTATGAAAACAGTTTCGGAAAATAATTTTATTCATCAAATAGTTCAGTAATTTTCCCCAAATTATTTGGTACGGCCCGGCCGACCCTGCCGTCCCTGACGAGCCGTCACTGGTTCCTATTCAAATTATGGACCTACAGAGTATTGTTTTTTTCCCAATTTTTCCAATATTTTTTTTTGCGGCTTTTTATAACGCCGACGAATGAAAATGAAATATCACAGTAGTAGCAACTGTTATCAAGTGACGTATGGTTTCCATAGCCAACTTCTCAATTTTTGGCTTTCATTTTGCTTCCACGGCCTACTCGATGAATTTCAATAATAGTTTTTTTCTAATCTAGTTTCTGGTTAGATACCAACTTGTGACATGTCATTGAAAAGGGAATTGAATGCTGAATAAAGCGAAAAGAAAAAAAAATAGGGTTTCCATTTAAAATAAGAAAGTTGATGTTACTTCCGGTCAGACCGGAATATATGTCAATATGCTCAAATTCTAGCTCTTATGTCATTATATCGACGCTCTGAATTTCACAAACCTACTTCATACAATAACTGAGATATTCCGTAGGCAATACTTCCGTAGCCACCCGGTATATTCCAGTGGACACTTTTTCCTCTTCATTACCGAGAAGCGAATTGAATTGGCAATTTTCGGACGCTTCAATGACATAATGATATTATAATTTTTTACCACTTGCATAGTAATCCGAAGTCGATATGAAATTCAAGAACAAAATATGTTACATCCTGAACTAGTATTTTTAGTAGTTCTATGCAACTACTATAGGTAGAAATTAAAAATTCGTTAGCTTGAAATCAGTTGGTGCCGAAACTGCGACGCAAACTCAATCTTTCCATGAACCTATATATATGATAATCAGATAAATATATAAATAATTTCTCATATCATTCAATCTGGTGTGAAATTTTTCCACCGAATACCACACGGGGTTGCAATATTTTTCTAAAATTTTTCTCTCGCCTTTGAATATCTTGGGTATCATCCCTCGTCTTAACCCTTAGTGGTATTGAAAGTGAAAACATGCGAGGAAAATGATCTGAAATTGATGGTTTGAGTAGTGTCCACACCCTTCGTAAAACCTCGTATATGTTTTCTGAAAATTGTGAATTCAATTGTATGATGAATAGTAAATGCCCGAGATGAACTTGGTGTCCTGAACATGTCCCTGATGCTTCTGATTTTCTCTATTTTGTTACAACTATACTCAACTCCATAACCATGAACCTCAATATATAACTTTGCGCGATTGATTCTATGAAGCATCCTACTGGAATTATCGGACGTGACTATTCCTGAGATTATCATTGATATGTGTGACATGAATAAAATTTCAATTTAACCACACTCTAGAGATATCCAGGGGGTGTAATTGAATCACGCATTCAATTTTCAGGTGCGGCGGCTCACTGGTCAGCAGGAGGCACGTGGTTACTGCGGGTCATTGCGTTGCCCGAGCAACGCCGAGGCAGGTGCACGTGACGCTGGGCGATTACGTCATCAATTCGGCCGTGGAACCTCTTCCTGCCTATACGTTCGGAGTCTCGAGTATACAGGTATTATAATCTATGATTGCTTAGAGGGACCATTGCTTTGTAAGTATTTTATTACGGTTCAAACTTTTTCTCCGAATTCAGTTTTCTTTCTTCGAACACATTCCTTAGAATATGTTGAGGCATTTTTCCTGTTCAGAAAAACTGGGCTAGTGGCAAACAAATATTGATGATTGTCAATCAATATCACAACAAACTCACTGAATCAATTTCCAATTCGTCGCATCTTTTGCTAATTGCGGTGTATATATTCTTCAAGAGCATGTTGAACCAAATAACAGTTACTGTTCGATTACGTTCCTAGTATGTCTCACATGTTATGTTTTGCCGTAGTGGAATCTACGAATTTCGTATCCAATTGATCTACTTTGTACCACCGATGAAGAACATCATTCGGATACGCTAACAGATCCTGATTAACTGATAAATTCTGCAAGTTTTATGGACTGGTAATAATCATCCTCATCTTTACTTCAACCCAATAAGTCGGAGAAATGCGAGGAGAAATGCGATGTGCGTTAACCATACCGAAGTAAACTATTCTATTGATAACACTGGTGTCGTTATTGGAATTCCCTGCATATTGATGTAGATTCCGATAAATTTCATACTGATATCATTCGATTCTTCCAGTTGATGTTCCTTTGGATGCAAATTACTCTGTTCTTGCTCAGCTCCTTCGTGCATTAAGTTCTCATCTGTTGTGGATTTTATCTTATTTTGAATCGGCTAATGATGAACTAGGTCGAAATCGAATGATGTGAACATTCGATTTGATCCCTGATTGATGGGGATTATTGAAGTTGTGAACTAAACCTACTTCCGTGTTCTGAAACTGAGCATGTTAACCAGTATATCGGATACTACATGTTTGAATTCTAGGAAAAACTTTGTGAATACAGATATGGAAATATGAATTGGGATATAAATATATAGGAAAACATATTAGACATATTGAATTTGGTGAAAAACTAGATTCGAAGAAAAATTATTGAAAACACTTCCCTGTAAGTTACACGTCTTACCCGAGTACTCACCAAACCGACTCAATTCGATTCAATAGATGCTTTATTGAATGGAATGAATGATTTGCAATTCGAAATGTGTGACATCCTTCAGTAACTCGACAAGTGCTTCAAAAACAGCAATGCTTCACAATTGTTTGCCAAGGGTAGAATCCCCAAGAATTTGAAAAGTTTCAGAACAATTCCAATACTGAGCTTCTTTTCTCATAATTTCTAGATACGCGTGATGTTCCTCGAACTTAATAGGTATTCTCCTTCGTGCGCTACAAAAGGAGCAAAAACTCCTCCAGGACAAAATTGAAACTAAATATCCCATTCTGGAATTCTGATATTCTGATGATATCCTAGGTGATAGGTATGATCGACTGAAAATTCAGTTCCAATCTTCTTCTGCCAAAGCTTAACCATATAGCGAGCAGAACACAACATATCGTAGTGTTGAACAATCCAATAAAGTTGAGTCTTGTTGAATGCGAGTAATTGAATAATTTGGCAAAATCTTAATGATCGCGAAGAAGAATGTGTGCAATGAAAGAGTGACTCTCCTATGTTCCTTTTATATTTGAGTAGTAGGATTCCATTCTTTCTATGTCATATCGAAATTTCACTTTGTCAAAATCATGTCTCATTTATGTTTGGATTCTATCAATAACCATAGAAATATTTGTGTATGTATTCAGTGACTCCTTCACTTGTCAATAGTGACTTATTCACTTGTCATTAGTGACTTATTCATTTGCGATTAGTGACTCATTCAATTGTCATTAGTGACTTGTTCACTTGTCATTTGTGACCTGATCACATGTCATTGGTGACTGAATCACATCATTAGTGACTTATTCACTTGTCTTCAGTGACTTATTCACTTGTCACTCGTGACTTATTGATTGAATTGAATTCCATTACTTTTTCTCCTGAAAAATTATAACATTGGTATATGAAGACAAAACCAATGCATTTGAAACATTAATTGTATAGCTATAATGAATCCAGAAATCACGAGAAGGTGACGCTGATGACAAATATTGAGACACTATAGATCCTGTGTGGAATTTGAAATAATTTTCATACTCATTACTCGTCACTTTCTCCCACATCGGGTATTATCGAGAGTAAAATAAAATCTGTATATGTCAATAAATATGTACAGTGTGTCCAGTTTTCGATGCTTTTGCGTGATATCTCAGTTATTTTTCGAGATAGAACCTTGCGGATTCCGCGGTCCTTTGCCACGTTTTTGTGAAACTCAAGATGGCCTTATCAGATTTTGCATAACTGTCTCCGTTTATGAGATACAGGGCGATTTTGAAAATTTATACTTTCTACGAAGTTTCTCAGCTAAAATGTCCAACTAATATTTCATTCCATAGAGAATTTTACGCAGAATCCAGTGGTGCACTCAAGTTTTTTTTTCGGGGTATTGCGTTGGAGATAGGACTCAAGCTAATGATTTTTCAAATGGAACACCCTGTATTTCATAAGCTCATTTATTTACTTATTTTCTTCCCATCAAAATGAAATATAATATATGAATATAAGACTTTAAAGAATGCTCCAAAATCACTAAATCATTGAATCTTAATAGTAGGCTATGGATTTTTCATTTAAAAAAAATTCCAATTGAAGGAATATTTCTTTTGATTCATCAATGGAGAGGACAAGAACGATATTAACACTAATTAATCAAGAAAATACAAATATCAGATACCGAATAGCAACAAATAAATAGTAATAAAAAGTTCATAATAAAGTACCTGATTTTTGTGTTTTCTTCTTAGTGAATTAGTGTTGGTATTGTTTTTGTCCTCTTCATGGCGAAATGAAAAGAAATAGGTATCTATTTCTTCAATTGCAACTTTTTTATATGAAAACTCCATAGCCCACAATTAAAATTCAATGTTTTAGTGATTTTGGAGTTTTTCTGAAAATCTTATATCCACACATTATATATAATAATAATAATAATAATATAATAATAAAGCGGCTTTATTCATCATTATAATTTCTACATACAAAATAGAGAACAGTGAAATAAGAAGAACAAATGATGAAAAGGCGAAGTGTCAGCTATATAGCTGTTTTTCAACTTAACCAGGGAAGGAAGAGTAAAAACTAATATCAAATATAAGGAAAAATCATTACAAATTACTATATAAAATTTAGAATAATGTTATACTAAGAAATCATAACAACCTAGGTAGATCAGCGGAGTTGGTCAACGTACAAATATAAACTGTCTATCCTTCAGTAGATGTTTCAGTCTTTTTTTGAAATTACTCAGTGTGTACAGCCTGAATTCATGTGGGAGCTGATTGTAAAATTTTGCAGCATTGTATGAGAAACATCTCGTGAAAGTTGCAGTGGAGTGAGTTGGAATAGCAAGAACGTGTCTATTTCGTGTTCTGAGATTGTTTAGATTTGAGAATGTCCTGAGTTTTTCAAAAAGATATTCAGGTGTGTTCTTTGTTAGAACTTTGTGAGTTATCGATAAAAGATGTAGAGTTCGAAGATCGTTCAGCCTCAGCCAGTCAGAATCATCGAATGCGGCACTAATGTGGTCGAATTTACGAATACCAAAGGAGAATCGAACGCAAGAGTTTTGTATTCTCTGAAGGCGATTCTGATCAGTTTTCAGGAGAGCAGGGCCATAAACGCTATCACAATAAGACAGCTTAGACATTATCAAAGATTCGCACAAGGAAAGCTTCAAATGCTTAGAAAGCACACGTCTGTTTGGAAAGAGTTGCCTAAGTACATTAAAGGACGCTTGACAGAGATGGCTAACATGTTTAGTGAACCTCAGCTCAGAGTCAATCCACAATCCTAGATTTTTGCTTTCCTTAGATATAGGCAGTATATCATTACCGATTCTAATTTCCATATTTTCACGAACAACTTCCACCTTTTTTCTTGAACCAAATAACATGATCAAAGATTTTTTTGAATTCAGACGTAGATTGTGGGCGGTAGAGAAGTCGCGTAATTTATTCAAATCTATGTTTAAATTATTTAGTGCTTCTTGATGATCTACAAATTTGAAAGATGTATGAAGTTGAGTATCATCAGCGTAGTGATGTATTCTGGAGTGTTTTATAATTTTGAAAAAATCTGAGATATAAAGGGAGAAAAGGAGTGGCCCCAGGATAGATCCCTGAGGTACACCATATCCAACCGATAGTGAATTCGACTCGATGTTGTCTAAGACAACGCGCTGGGTTCGATTAGATAAATAATGGCGTATAAATTCTACAGCTCCATTTGAAAAGCCAAAGTAGCTAAGTTTTAGACAGAGAGTGGAATGGTCCAGAGTGTCAAATGCCTTGCTGTAATCTAATAAAACCAAACAGGATATTTCACCGTTATCCGTTGCCTTGTAAAGATCGTCCGTGATTGACAAAAGAGCGGTAGTAGTGCTGTGCTCAGACCGGAATCCTGACTGTACAGAAGTGATTATCTCATGTGAGTATGTGTATTCTACCATTTGATCTTTCATGATATTCTCGAGGGCTTTGGAAAGGGAAGGCAAGATGCTTATAGGTCGTAAGTCCGAAAGCTCGGTGGGAGAATTACATTTAGCCAAAGGTTTGATTAATGCATGTTTCCATTCCGAAGGAAAGATGCTCGTGTTTATTGCGGTATTGAGAATGAATGTAATGTGTTCGATTAAATAGGGCTGTATTAATTGAATCATTTTAATAGAGATTTGGTCTGTTCCGGTTGCATTGCTTTTAATTTTATTCAGATATTTGTGTACGGTTCCTTGTGATATACTCCTGAAAGTGAAGACATGTTCTTTGTCATGATTTTTATATTTATCAAGAAGATAATTAAGTTCATCAGATTTTTCTGGAAGCGTTATACTATTGAAGTGGTTATTTATTCTATTGACGTTTTTCAGTTTCTCCGGAAGACAAGGCACGGCCTTTTGTCGAAGAATATCGAGCGATCTGAGTGTGTTGTAAATCTCCTTGGAATTTTTTCTTCGTAATACATGTTCAAGGAAAGCTTTTTTTTCGCGACGTATAGCCCCAGTAGTGTAATTTCTCAGATCCGTATAACTTTTCCAAGAAATGTTAGTTCTCAATTTTTTATATCTGATGAAAGCCTTATCTCGGAGTTTCATCATCTGTATGATATTATAAGTGCGCCAAGGAGCTGGTGGTTTAGTTACTCTAATAGTTCGGAAGGGGGCGTGACGGTTGAAGAGGGCGATCAATCCTTGGTTAAGAAAATGTATCATTTCATCCACAGTTTCTAGTTCAAAAATGACATTCCAGTTGTATGAAATTACATCTACATTGAAAAGGTTCATATCAAAGTTAGAAAAGTCGCGATAGGAAATACTCTTTGGCTGCCTTCTCAATTTTTGACAGTCGATTTTACAACTGACTGCCAAATGGTCGGATATTCCATTCATGTCCACGACCTTAACATCTGAAATATTATCTGGGTCAGTTACCATAAGAACGTCAATCAGTGTTTCACTATAAGACGTGATTCTCGTAGGTTCATTGATTAACTGGGTGAAGTTGAATGTCTCGATGAAACTGAGGAGAAGATCGCAGCGATTATCATTGGCTAATAAGTTTATATTCAAATCTCCCCCGAATATAATGATATCATATTCTGGTATTAAGTTAGTTACCGTTTCTTCTAATTCTTCGAGGCACTCTAATATGCTGGCTGAGGGTGGACGATATAAAATACCGAACAAGTATGTTCGACATTCAATGGTTACAGAAATCCAAAGTTGTTCCAAAGATGAACTCACCTGCGAGAAAACAATTTTATAATTGAAAGAGTTGTGGACATAAAATGCTACACCTCCACCTCTTGCATTTCTATCTGCCCTAATGAGATTATACGATTGTATTGCAACGCAGTCAGAATTGATATTTTTATGTAGCCAAGTTTCGGACAACCCAAGGATGTCATAATTCTCATTAATAATGTAATCATTGAGTACATCGAAGCCAGTGGACAGAGATCTTATATTCAGAAGAAGGTGTTTGAGAGGCTTATACATAACTGGAAGGAACGAATCAATTTTATGAGGAAAATACTAAAAACAATTAACAAGAACAGTAATCAGGTAGAGATAATATGAATCTATGCTGGCAAAAGTGCTCTACGAATTCTTCTGGGACGAGGATGCACTATTGGAACGAGTTTTTCTATCGATGTTATCAGTATCACTTGGAATTTGCTTTCTTGACTTCTTGAAAGAAGGTTTGATGGATATGTTCAAAATATCAGCATCAGTGTCTACTAGGGGTACTGATGAAGCCACTCGTGGAGTTGGAGTTGATGGCGCACTTGAGTTCCTTCCTCTCTTCTTTTTTTCGAGTTCAGTTTCTTCCGTTTCTGAGAGATCTTCACCTACTGATATTTCCCTCTCTAGTTCTTCAACCGAGTAAGAATTGCCGTTGACAATCAGTTTGCCACCTTTTATTTTTGCAGATAAATTTTTAGATCTTGCTTCTTTCATATGTTTAACAAGTATTTTGTTCACCACACGATCTTCATAGCACATATCTTGAAAGATGGTAATTTTTGAACCTCTCAGTTTGTGAACGTTCTGAAATAGCGAGTTTTTTGTCAGGAGTGACATAAACTCAACTTTCAATGCATGTTTTTCATTGATTTTAATTGGATAAATGTTGAACAGATCCCTCAAGCATAAGTCCATTCCCAGCAGTGAGTTCAATTTGGATATAGTTGAGGTCGCCAAATTTTCATTAATATCCACATCTATCATTCTGAAGAGAAAAAAATGGGGAATTCAATGAGCTTGTAAAATACAGGGTGTTCCGTTCAAAAAATCATAAGTTTGAGTCGTATCTACAAAACCATACCCCGACAAAAATGTTGAGTGCGCCACTGGATTCTGCGTAAAATTCTCTATGGAATGAGATCATGATTTGACATTTTCGCTGAGAATTTGCGTAGATATAGAGGGGGTCCAATGAGTATGAATTTTCAAAATCGCCCTGTATCTCATAAACGGAAACAGTTATGCAAAATTTGATTAGGCCATCTTGAGTTTCACAAAAAAGTGGCAAACAACCGCGGAAACCGCAAGGTTCTATCTCCAAAGATAACTGAGATATCACGCAGAAGCATCGAAAACTGGACACACTGTACTGTTCTGACAGAGATAGGTATTTCATTATCTCCCTCAAGAGAATAACAGATCAAGAATCCCTACCCACAGCTCAGAGTGCGGCACACAAACAGAGATTCTTCCAGAATATCATATAGCAGTTGTTCAGAAGGGCACTTGTATGCCTTGGAAATTCAATTTTACTAAAGGAAACGCACTTCACAAATGCTGAAATCATAATGAAGTCAATGACAGTGGGAGTAGTCGTGTTGAACATTAGCACCCGAATAATATATCAGATATGTCCGAACGACGAAAAGATGTATAACCACAGGTGAGCTATCACCTGCACAAATCGACTTAGTAGATTGACTTCATCGATGAGTTCGTACAGAGTAAGTGATTTTGTCTCAGTAATATGAGTTGATAATGTTGAATATTTGTTAACCTAACAGTAGTTCAGTGTTCACTTATAATTAGCGAACTCAAGATACATATCGATCTGATATTTATACCAACAAGTGTCCTGATAACTTACAGCAGAAACATTGTTTCAGAAATATTGTATTGCCTACTCAAAGTACTTTATATTTCTACCGTTCGTGGAAATGCTCTTGTCACAATCATCTTCTTTTCAAGCAAACGATCTACTTGACCACGTTTTCTCAGTGTGGAATTGATATTTTGGTGAAAATATATTGATAATCATTTCTGTTTCCTATGCATGCATAATGCATACAGCTATATTCATTTGATAGGTGAGTATACCTACGTATACATATACATTTTGAACATGGAGTTTATTCGAATTTCTTCCCTTTGGGTCTTTCAGTTATGAATTTTGGTGTCGTACTGAGATTCTCCTCTACTAGTAGTCCAGTCATTAAGTCATTTCCTGAAAACAGATTTCGTACTAGATGTATTTTTCATGCAGTGTGCTTTTCAGGATGTTGATCACAAATCTGAAGTTTGCCATCAAAAATGTCTCCTGGAATTTCAGTTATAGCCCAAAAACATGGGAAAATATATATTCTCTCCTAGTTTTTTGCCTATAACTCAAAAACTATCGACTTATTGTGAAAACTGTACAGTGTGTCCAGTTTTCGATGCTTTTGCATGATATCTCAGTTATATTTGGAGATAGAACCTTGCGGTTTTCGCTATCCTGTGCTACTTTTTCGTGAAACTGAAGATGGCCTGATCAGATTTTGCAGGACAATTTCCGTTTATGAGATACAGAGCGATTTTGAAAATTTATACTTTTTGGACCCCCTCCTATATCTACGAAGTTTATCAGCGAAAATGTCAAATTGAAATCTCAACCCATAGAGAATTTTATGCAGAATCCATTGGCGCACAAAAGTTTTTTTTTCGGGGTGTGGTTTTGAAAATACGACTCAAACTTATGATTTTTTGAATTGAACACCCTGTATTTTACAAGCTCATTAAATTCCTAATTTTTTCCTTTCAGAATGATATATGATGTATGAATATAAAATTTTCAAAAATGTTGAAAAATCACTAAAACATTGAATTTTAATAGTGGGCTATGAGTTTTTCGAGGGATTTTCATATAAAGAAATTTACAATTGAAGGAATATTTCTATTGATTGTTCCATAAAGTGGGAAATAACAATTTCGACACTAATTAACTTGCAATACACAAAACTTAGATACCTGATATCCACAAATATATAGTAATAAAAAGTTTATAATGTAGAATAAGCACCTGATTTAATATTTACTAAAACAATTGAATTTCGAAATTGTTTAGTGATTCATTCATTGAATTGTTCAAATAGATGTCCATTTTCCATCACAAACTTTCTCAATACATATTAATCATTGAAAGATGTCTTTGTAATTCCTGGAAAACTGCCTCTGTTGTTGCACAAAGTTCTTCAAGTATATTGGGCCACTCACTGTATTGAGAAGTATTAGGAAAGTTTGTCAACTGTATGTTAGGGAGAATGGATATCAATTTGAACATGTCAATGAATAAGTTACTGAATAATTCCGGAATTCAATTGTTCTAGTTAATATTTAATCAGGTGCTTATTCTACATTATAAACTTTTTATTACTATTTATTTCTCGCTATCAGGTACCCAAGTTTAGTGTTTTGTTAATTAATAAGTGTTGATATTAGTTTTGACCTCTCCATGGAAAAATTTGAAGAAATATTCCTTCAATTGGAACGTTTTTTATAAGAAAAATCCATAACCAACTATCAAAATTCAATATTTTAGTGATTTTGAGCAATTTTGAAAATTTTATAGTCATTCGTTATAAATCATTCTGAAGAAAAAAAAATAAGGAATTTGATGAGCTTGTGAAATACAGGGTGTTCCATTTAAAAAATCATAAGTTTGAGTCGTATCTCCAAAACCATACTCCGAAAAAAAAATTTAAGTGCGCCACTGGATTATGCGTGAAATTCTCTATGCGATAAGATTTTGATTTGAAATTTTTGTTGAGAAACTTCGTGGATATGGAGGGGGTCCAAATAGTATAAATTTTCAAAATCACCCTGTATCTCATAAACGGAAACAGTCTTGCAAAATCTGATTAGGCCATCTTGAGTTTCACAAAAAAGTGGCACAGGACCGCAGAAACCGCAAGGTTCTATCTCCACAGATAACTGAGATATCAGGCAAAAGCATCGAAAACTGGACACACTGTACAGTACTCAGATAATCGAAAAACATGTTTCTATGATTCGAGTATCTGCAATTCCAATCGTGTTTTCTTTATTTTTGTGATATTGTTGTTCTCATGTAAGTGTCTTGTTTGAAAAATGAAAAATTTTTAAATTAATTTTTCCCAAACTACCTATGAAACTGACCTTCTGAACCTGTATTAATGTCCTCTTCGTAATGAATTCAAACCATACTTGAAGTAGAAATTGGTCAGAAGGATTTCACTTTCAATTTTATGCAATGCTTTCAATTGAATGAAAAATGCCCCCTTCTGAAATTTTTTCTGTCGGCGCACACGACATAAAATGAACTGTACAAACCGAAATAGTAATTGAATTTGATGAATGACCCAATACTATGGGCACAACTCATTGTTTCAAATGAAGCAAGATTCAGAATAAATAAAAAACGATACTTCCATCACCACATTACCCCTTGTCAGTGTCCTGATTAGAACAAACAGTTTCATGAATGTAGGAAAGATAAATGGAAAATAAGACTACTCCGACTGAATCGGAGTATCTGGCATTCCTATAATGTGAATGAATGTGACATTATTTGAAAAATTGAAAATTCCATTCATAAGTTGTCTGGCTCTCTCGAGTAGTCGTGAAATAAATATTAATGTAACCCAGTTAGGCAACGCGTCATTTTTTGTGACGATGGGATTTCGAGTAACGCGCTTATCGAGAAGCCGCAAAACACAGAGTTACACAAAATGTTGGTCATTTGGCGTTTGTCGAATAAAATTCCAGAGGTTAGCTATTTTGGGTGATAATTGCCCCCAAAGTTCAAAACATAGTATATAGAGCATGTCTCATTTCAAAGCCTCCATCTCTATATCTCAGCTATTAGTCGTGCCGTCCAAATTTGGACCGGTATAAATAACTACAATAGAGTCAGTTTTTCAGAGGCGAACATCATTTGAAATCATACTGAGCGTTTTTTTTAAAGGGTCATATTCATATAAAATCATATCAGAATTTTCTCCACAAGAAAACAGACCTTACACATGATTCCTATGAAGAGTTAAAAAAAAACTGGCACCTCCAGACAGTATTTTCGCGAACGTAATAATTATGTACTCAAAACTGTGAGTTCAACATGATTGTATATTACGTGATGAGTGTTGAAGAATCACGCACGCAGCCGCGTAGCGGCGAGTGTTTAATTCCTTCAACAGCACCTTTGCAGGCTGGAGTCTATTTTTTTGTTTATCTCCTATGGTTTGTGAATGGGAATCCTTATAATGTTCGGAAAACATAGTGCGTACCTAGGGAGGTAGTTAGGTAGGTAGGTAGGTATTGCAATTTTCCTGAACTTTTGATGGAAATTACTAGCTATCTCTGAAATAGAACTCGGAAGATTTGCCGTTTTATAGACCAATGAGTTCTGATAAAGATTTGTTTGATATATAGAAGGAAATCGTGTCAAATTTGAGAAGGAACACTCTGACATTACTCCAGTCATTCAAATATTGTAGTATCTTCTAGGTGAAGAGTTGTTCGACAAACCTTGAGGTCGACGACGAAAGGATGTGCTGACTGAGCTTGTCAAGTTTGTCGGACTAGTATTGCTAGTGCATCATAATGATGAGCAGAGCGTATCTATAGAGAAGTGTTTCGTGGATTCTTGTTCTGACTACGGATGCGGAGAAGTCATTGGTTCTTTCCAAAAATACAACAGTACTCCATTTTCTTATCACCTATTGAAATAAATAATGATTCGTGTTTCTGAACAATTTGTGTTTTATGATGATGACAGTCGGTACAGGTTTGTTTCAAGTGATCGTGATTCAGAATCCATCATCATTCTTTGTGAAATAAACTCTAATAATGATTTTTGAAACATCAATAAAATTGGTCGCAGCTGGCCAAGATAAAAGTCCAAGAACAA